TTTTTTTGCGTCCAGTTGACCTTTTGACAGACATGCACCCTTTCTCCTCAAAGAACACATAGTTTATGATTCATCTAAGGTCACTAAAAAGGCAATTTTGATGCAAAAAGAAAGAAAGAAAGTCGCCCGCCGTCGTCCGCCATTTTTTTCACATTTTGTCAAACCTGCCAACTTCGCCTTTCGTTAAAACGTGAACTGTAATTGGCTGGTTGAAAAAGCCATTGAAATGTTTGAGGTAAGGAGAAACCTAGTTTTGATCATAAAAATTATACTCGAATTCTAAAGTTTTTAAAGCCATATTTTAGAAAAAAGAGTTATTTTATAAAAGCAATAGATAACTTTTTCCCTGTGTTTACATAGCCTGATGCAAACACTCGGGCAGGTTGGGAGAATTCTCGATGGTTATGCAAACCCTCGACTTCGTCTCGGGTTTGCATAACCGTCTCGAATTCTCCCAACCTACCCTCGTGTTTGCATCAGGCTATGTAAACACGGAAAAAGTTATCTATTACTTAATTAGTACTAACAATAAGAACTATAATTTCATTCATGATTACGAAAGAAAGTTGACAAAGCATCCTGGTAGTTGAACTATTATACTTCCACTAAATTGATAGCAAATATCTGACTTATCTATACTACTGAGCGGTAAGTTTAATTCCTGGTCTATATTGATGACGGAAATTCGTATAATATTATTAATCGTTATTTTTATCTTTTACTTCCGATTACAATCAAGCGATTTTTGCTTCGATTTTACAGTCATTTTGATCAATGACTAAATAATGTTAAAGAATTAACTTCTAAAATTTTATTTAGACTAGTTCGCAGAAAAGAGCTAATTATAAACGTCTCTTCACTAGGCATAGACAAAATCTATCATAGTTTTGAGCTCTCCTGAAAAATCGCAGAAAGCGCACTAAAAATCGCAATTGTCTCTAGCCTCATGAAATAACCTTTTCCTTATCTTATCTTATCTTATCCTTAGACAACCTGCAAAGAGGTTCTAGGATGACGCCAAAATTAAACTTTATTTATTTCTCTAGTCAAAAAAGAAAAAAAAGAAAAGAAAAAAAGAAAATGAACAATCGCAGATTGATTTTTCTAGTACCGTTTCCCGTTGAGCGTTCCTGGTTTCATATCAATTTGCTAAATAATTTAACTATGATTTTAATATGAAAACATTTGATGGGTTTTTAAGCCGACTATCAAGTTGGGAAAGTTGTAACAGAGCTGTATCAATACTACCATCTAAGGGACTGTTTTCAAAACAAGACAAAATTTGATAAGCAAAAKCCAAAAGGATGGTTGCAAAAAAGCTGTCTGGGATGACAGAGAATATAGAGCAGAATAATAATCAACAGAAAGCGAGGTGGGTATAAATTTCTCGATAAGATATTATTAAACCAATTTTATTTCGATAATTTAATCTGCTATGCACACTGGATAACAGAGCGTTATTTCGGAGTTTATGTATCGCGTTGCCTAGGAAATCATGAAGATCAAGGAAGGAACGGTGTGTGTTCATGTACGTGTGACAGTCACAAGGAAGGTGTGTCGTGTGAAGTAGAACTGGAGAAAAAGAGCCAATCAGAGTTCACAGGGAATGTGTTAATCATTGTATGAGCTTGTTACTTTCACGTGTGATGTTGTAACGTTGTTAAAGGTGATTTGTATCATGGCTTCATAAAATCCAACTACCAGAATGCTTTGTCCATTTTCTTTTTGATATAATTGGTCCCAATCTCCAAAGGGATTTTCATTCTTTTAAAAAATCTGAATCGTCACAAAGAAAATACGAAAAGCTTTCTGAACTCATCCTGCCATGCATGTGTATTTTTAGATGAATCTGCAATCAAGTGAGTCATTTTCTTGAGGATCATTGCTGTTTTTACAGCATTCTCTAGGTCTAGTCTAGTTTTWAATACAAAAAATGTAATAAAATAGTCATAAAATAGGTCGCATGCCAACCTTTTTAGAAATCAAATTCTGGGGAAGTAGCACTAAGCATGGTGGCAATGCATGCGGATGCTGGCGAACTTCCCCGCGTGTTGTCCAGGCCATCTACGAGGACACACAATAAGTGATTATTGGGATTATATATCTTCTATTTATGATTTTCAATTTGCAAAAGATTACCGATAAGAGTATTGGAGCATCACAAACTGAACATCACCTCGATGTGTAAAATAACCTTGAGTCTTACTTAATTTTTTTACACTGATTGTGTGTATAAAGATGAATTAAAGTTCAAAGAGGTAATCCAAAGTTAATCCAAATCCACTCAAGAGTCTCTACGGATAAGACCACACAACGCCTTGATTATACCTAGCTGCAGTTTTTAACTTTTGCGATTGGATTAATATGGGTTTTCGCCCACGTTTAGCCTACTAAATTTCTTTGAATCAAAATAAACTAAAAACAGGGGAAGCTGATAGTTTGAGGTATAATAGAACGAAAGATAATCCGAATAATTTCATTATGATTGATCGCCTGATGATGTTTTAGTAATTAAATCGAAATATGGCGTTTTGATTCCATCTGTTCTGTCCGGCATTCTTGATTGAATATCAATCATAACGAGATTATCTTTCGTTCTATTCAAAGTAAACTACAAAGCTTACCCTTCTCAGACTTCTATCATGAGCTGTGCTATATACTTTAAAGGCTGATTTACACGGCACGATTGTCTCGTGCGATTTGTAGTATACGACTTGAATCGCGCAGTGTAAATGCCCCTACGACTTGTCTACAACAGTCGTACACAACCTATGCGCGACTTGTAGTAGGGTTTTGAACCACTTCTTAAAATCCTACGACTTGTAGTAGGAAAATCGTATACTACAAGTCGCGCGCGACAAATCGTACCGTGTAAATCAGCCTTAAAAATCCCGCAAAATGATTCCTTCCTTGTTGATTCTTAAACCCTATTTGCTGTGCCAAAGAATATGATTCAGAGAAGATCTGAGAGAAAGCAACAACCACAAACCTTTTTCTCAATCTATGCTGTGTTTCTTAGTTTTCAAGGCTAATACGAGTTTTATTCCCAGGGGGTTGGCGCATGATGTAATAGCAGTGGTGTTAACTATTTTGATATTTGCCGTTGTCATCATGGTGGGTTTGTTCTCTTTTCTTCCCTCTTTGGGCGCTCCACCTCTACCATCCTTCCAAAAACCTACTAAGGTATGGCAAAATCAATTTGTATTTTTAAAAAAGAAATTAAAACTTGGCTTTTTAAGAAAGCATTTTCAATTAAATAATTTTTGAAGTTTTATGATAAAATCATTATTATTGTATTTGTGTATTATGCAAAAAAAAAAAATATATATATATATATATTCATAATTAAACAGTGTACATATTTAAATTCTTTTTCATATAAACCTTTTTTATATATCTTTTTTATATCTTTTTTCATAAATTTTTATAATAGTATTGAATTTTTCTATATTCAATTTTGTAAAGCGCATCAGAACCTGGTGGATATTTTGCGCTATATAAATACTATTTATTATTATTATTAT